CAAATTCTTCGATAATAGGCAGTTGACCAATTCATATGGAGGCATTTAATAAATGGCACAATCAAATCCAAACAAGGTATTTTCATAGACGTCAAACTAGGAATCTATAGGGAACAAAAGGACAATTTCAGATAGTACGCAGACAAAATGTTTGAATCCATGGATCAACAAAGAGAAATTCAGTCTACAAAACAGTAAGCAGACAAATTGCTTGAGTAAAATAATCTCACAAATGTACTTTCCCCATATTAAACAATGAACAGATGGATTAATCATTACACAGTAAAATCTAGCAAATGGAAATTCCATAGTATAAATTAATTTATAAATACTTTGCCTTCAGAAAGTAATAACAAACCTTTATATTTTTTCTTTATATCCCTATTATTAATTTATTCAACATCTTTAATAATTTTGAATGCAAATGGATACCTGGCAGAGAACATCTTTTTCGCTAAACAAACCAATAAACGTATATTTTTGTCGAAGACAAATTGCATGCAAATGAATACCTGATGCCAAGCATTATTTTACGCAACAAACACATACACATATATCTTTGTTCGCAAAATTAATTTCAAGTAAATGCATACCTGGCAGACTGGTTGACCAACACGTTCAGGGTAATCACCATCGTCAGCAATCAATGCTCCCATAACCTGTTATCAGAACACAAATGAAATCAATCCGTCCATGTTTCTAAATCAAAACCATCAGAAGGAAATGTTTTCCACAATATATTGTATTCCCTTTCTTGCAAAAACTATTATGATCTCCAGTAAAACTCAAAAAGATTACTTTTTACACAAATTAGAACCAAATCTACACAAAACCCAATTAAAAATGGAATAAATTCACAGTAATTAGCGCCCCATTAAAAATGGAATAAATTCACAGTAATTAGCAAAACCCAACACTTTGAGTGCTCTATCACACCAATCCTGCAACAAAAAGTCAAAATTAAACCCTCCAGATCAAAATTCGACACATAAAAATTGAAAGCTTTTACCGCACTCCGATCACGGGGATGACTGAAACGACAGCGAGCACCATACCCACAGAACCCAGTCTTCAAGTAATAACCACAATCAGGCTCGCCCGGCCTCTCCGGGTACGATTCAATCCCACCTCCAAGGCCCAACTCCCACATAGGCTCTGCATTCACAAAATCAAACCTTCAATCAATAAAATTTCCCTCTGCATTAAAAAATGGAATTCAATTCAGACGAAATTCAACTGAAATTAACCTATGCTGACCTTCCAGTCCGGTTTCACCGCTAGGAGAGGCCCATTCCACCATCGGATCCACTGGTGCCCCCTCCACTGCCTCACCCCCGCCGTACCTCTCCATTCTTTTAGACATATACACACACTCTATACACACTAAAATACCATACAACTATGTATAAATATTCGCACAAAATATATGTCTATATAATAGATACATAGATATCAATCTTTATAAGCCATCAATGGCTTATGGAAGTGACTCAAGTGAGATTCTGCAAGTGAATTTCATAGATGGAGTGGGGTGGGTATTTTGCAGTGGAANAAAAGAAAAGAACAAAGAAAGTAGTCAAAAGACACCAAAAGAAAGAAAAGACAAGATCCCATAAAATTATATGCCATTAAAATCTACTAATTTTAACTGAGAAGGTCTACAATTCAACCAAGTAAAGAAATTTGAAGAGTCATGTACCCTTAATCATTTCTCGATATAATTCTATAAGACAAAAAGAGCAATCTAATTTCATCCAATTATACCATGATATGCAGTAATTACACTTGAAAACAATTCAACCATAATCTGTGGCATAAACCCACTAATTCACTCCTTAACTAGAAATAGTTCATCTATCATGAACAGTTTTTTCAGGCATGGAAACTCATCTGTCGTGAAAAGCACAGAGAATGATAACCTTACCGGGCGTAGGGGAAGACCCAGTGGACTAAGCACATAATTTGTAGTTGGTGCATTCAACTCTGGTGGATGATGATATTTACATGTACGTCCATATTTACATTTTCCAGTTCTCAAATAATACTGACATTCTGGTTGCCCTGGTCTTCCGGGAAATGCATGTTCCAGCTGACTGCTGCCTGAATATGGTCCAGTCACTTCTGTGTAAACAGTTGCTGAAGGAGATAACTGGTTTATCCCATAAACTGGGTCCGCCCCAACGGTGAGTTCAGGGTATGAGGAGGCCACAGGACAAACTGAAGCCTGTACCACAACTTATAGTCGGAAGGGCATTCTAGAAAACTCCACATAAAACAAACAAATTCAGCTACACCTACCGGGTAGGGAGTCCAACCCGGACCTGGAACAACTGCTGGGGGAAGAAGCATGTGACCATAAGTCCCAGAAACATATGGAGGTGGAAACACAGCCGGTCTTGCAACTGGCCAGTTGCCGGGAAATATCCCATATTGTTGGGAAGATTGCACAGAGGGAGTTGGATAGACCACAGGTGTAGGTACAGTTACTGGTGTAGGCAATGATCCGGGCCCACGTGCTGGTACTGACATCCGTAAACCAGATGAGTGTGGGTGATTAAATTTACAGGTGATGCCGAACTTGCACTGCCCATATTTAGCATAATACGAACAATCCTTTTCACCCTGAATGAGAAATCTATGATACATCTGTACATTGTATAAAAGCTCGATCCAATTGAAACCATAAATTGTAAAATAGAACAAGAAAATAAAAATCAAAGTGGCAGACCAGTCGCAATGGATATCCATCAAAATTTAGGGTCACCGAGCCCGAAGATCCACCTCCCTGTCTTGGATGGTGGTACTTGCAGGAAGCACCATATTTGCACATTCCCATTCGGATATAGTACTACGAGTTCAGCATCAAGGGCACAGTTAATGTGAAAAGGCATAAAAGATACAATAAATACTGAAATTCTTAGTAAGACAGAGAATTAACATTCATTAATAGGAGTTACAACCTAAAAGAGGAACAGATAAATAAAGTAAAGCACATTTGGAGCATGTAAATGTTTTTATTTCCAACCATTCGACAATATTTCGGAGTTCATGCAGAACATGGTAGCATTTCCTCAGAATGAATAGCATAAACTTGTAAAATTGTTAAGATTGAGATTCTCTCTTCAGTTTATTTTCAATTTCTGTTTCTTAATAGAGGTAAGAAGAATTTGAGAGCTCACTCTAGAATGGAACATAAAAAAAAGAATGAGTTACTAGTGTCAAAATCTATCAAGCACCTATAATGCATCTATCAAAAGTTATTGGAAAAAAAATACAAACTTTGAAGATAAAAAGTAGTTTAAGTACGATGTACAACATATAGAAATATCATAACACGGAAAGAGGCAAACTACAAATCTTTTAAGACCCAGAAGTTGAAAAATATTGCAAATTTGGAAACTGACTGACTGTGTTAAAAATGAGTAGTAGATATACATGATGAGAAGGACGAATTGATAAACATAATCAGCATGGAGATGTTATTAATACAAGAGGCTGCAAATCCTGAACAATACCTTAAACCATTTCAATGTAGTGATAAACCAAGATGAAGGGACAAAGCGTTCATCAACTATAAAGAAGATGGTTGTTTCTGGAACNATCAATGGCTTATGGAAGTGACTCAAGTGAGATTCTGCAAGTGAATTTCATAGATGGAGTGGGGTGGGTATTTTGCAGTGGAAACTAACAAACCAACCCCAGTAATGCAAGTGTGTATATTTCTGACGAAATGATTACATCTCACGCTTTTAAACAGAGAGCCCCAACTTTCAACCAACTACAATAAAATCGTGTAGCTATAGGAAGAAAACGTGTATTCCTTTGCATTCTTTTGTGTTTTGTCCGCACTCGTCTGTGTTCGTGTCGCTTTTCTGTTTGTAGAAATTTATAATTTTCACTTTTTATCTTTATTAACGTTTCACGATTTTATTTTTTTTAAAAAGAAAAATGATATAGGCATTTTTTTAAAACTTGTTTCTACTAAAAACCGTTGAGGGAGCGTGAAACCTTGATCGTGAGGTCACTCTAATGTTACCATCCGTTAGATTGAGAAACCAACTTGAATCCTATTCCCTCTTCCCTCAAGAAAAAGTTAATAAAAAGAAGAGTACCAACTTGAATCCTATTCCCTCTTCCCTCAAGAAAAAGTTAATAAAAAGAAGAGTGTTGCTTGATTGAACGAACATTGTAAGAACCTTTCAATCTCCTCCTTACCTTCTAAGCAAAATTCAGAACAAGGCCGCAAACTCAACTATGCAAACCCTCACCCTCATATCATTGCATTTCTCTGAGATCTGAGAATAACGTAGGCATAGATATTCAAAAATGTTAGTTGATTTACGAGAATATTAACGTAAGACTTTTTGCTGCGTCTCATCGCAAGGCTCATTTTGAGTTGTGGGTCATAGGACAGGCAACTTTATCTAATCAAGGGCCGAGACAAAAGGTGTATCCATCGAAATTGAACCAGGTGTGTTTTTCCACCCACAAACATAGTGGCCAAATAGACCCTCTCTTGAAGGGGCAATAAGAGTTGGCAATGACACAAGCTGCTTTTTGACTCATCGGTTCAACTTGTGCCCACCTCTAAGGTGAACGCAAGACGATCCCAAATTTTTCTATGCAAGCTAGCTCAGTAGGTTGGCTCGTGAACATGCTAAGTTGGCCCGACTCTGCGAGCAACTCGTCTTAGCATCTGCAAGCCATCGATTTGAACAAGTGCCATCAATTTAAATTTAAAATCGTTTATATTTTTCCTTTTTTCCCGTATTCTTTTGTCGGGGATTTGTCACAAATCATTTCCTCATAGTTCTCAAGTAAGAAAACTCCAATTGAAGATTTTGCTAGTCTAATTTTCTACATTTTTCAAATAAAAAAAAAAAAAATTCAGCTTTTGAGGGAACCCAAAA